GTCAAAGTTTGACATATGGGTTGAAAATGGATCGTAGATAAAAATATTTTTTTTAATGAATTAAATCATCTGAAATCATGTATATTCAATGAATTAAAAATGCAAATAAGGTTAAAATAATATTTATTTTTACGAAAGATAAAAATAAATAAGCATATCACTGTAATGTTATAATATATCTTATATATAAAAATGGAGCTCTCTTTCAAATGTCCGAATAAAACTCGAAAACGGCTGAATCGATTTGGCCAGTCTTAGTCTTGAAAAATTCGTGCCAATCCAGAGAAAGTCCAAAAGGTGAGAAATTGTTTCAAATCCGCGTAGAAACTTTACATTTTTAATTTGAAAATTTTTGTTGCAGTGTAATTTATATAAAACAATTGACGGTGGCAATTTCATGAAATGTCAAACGCTTTTGACAGATGATGTTCAATTACTTTTAATAGGATGTTTTACGCGAATATTATTTAATTATGATAAATTTGTAGTAAGTAGTTTTGTGTGTAGTTTTATTTATATACAAAAACGTTAGTAAACGGGCAGCAAGTGTTACTAGAGACTCAAAATATCAACTTTTTTGAAATGTTAATATGAAAATGCACTTTTTGGCATATTTTTCTCAAACACGGTGCTCTGAAAGATCTCATTTATATAATTATACACTCATTGGTATTTATAAAACTTTTTCTAGGTTATATTATTTTTTATTTATCTTATTTAAATTCAGAACCTAAATTTGGTATCGATCAAATGGACATTTTGTCTAATAACATTTTTCCAATTATAATTTCCCAGAATTTATCGCAGAATAGGTATTAATATATGAAGGTCCGGGATTAAAAAGGTCCCCCATCGATGTGCCAAAAATCAGTAAAGTTAAGCATTGTTTAACAACAATATTGGAAAATAGAGGAAAAAAGATGTATAGCCAGCTACAAACTTGATCTGAAAACGATAATCTTTGAAATGGGAGAGATAAACGGTAATCTTTGAAAATCCATAATTAAAGTATTTTCTACCGTTGGTAGTTTTAGCATTAGTTAAAAATGTAATTATTTTGTAAAATACCTTTAAAATTATAATAAGGCTTTAAACCTTTTGCCACCTGTCCGTTACAAGTTACCCCGCATAAAGGATAAAAAGGTCTAGATAACAAATTTTTGGTAGACATCAAAAAAGCACATTTCTACAATGATGAAGTAGAAGTCAGTTTACTGAACGTAGTCAGGTAATTGTTCGTTTGATATATCTTATTTGTTGTGATATAATTGTTATGGTTTTCACAATATAGTTTATATTTGCTCAAAGTCAAATTGGACCTTTGTGCCTCGCCCTGCTCTACATATATACTTTTTATTAAATTTACTTTAATTCATCGAATGTAACTTGAAACTTTTCAAAAAACAGGTCAAAGAAGAAATACTTAATTCATTTTTTATCTCTCCTCGCAAAAATTTGAAAATTTTGTATAAGCTCAGTAGTATTATTCACAATTATACACAAAATCCAGAATCCAAAAAGAATCCGAAAAACTTGAAACGTAATTAATAAGCCGAAAGACCAAAAAAGACTCGGATTGGGTTATACGATGTTTTCTGTAGAAAGTGCATAAAACTTGCAGTTTCATTGTATTGACAAAATATAGACAAACTAATAGGGTTTATTGTTTTTATAATACCTAATTGTATACAGCATTCAAACAACACATCCTTATGCACTTAAGAGTACTGATATTATTAATTCTCTAGAAATGGTTTAGAATATACCTTATTTAGCAAAACAACGTTTGCCGGGTCAGCTAGTTTAATATAAATATATAAGCATAAATATAAATCCAAGTTACAATTACAAGGATACAATAAACCTAACCTAACAAAATAATACAATAAAAACCCTAAATAAACCTAACTAAATTTAAAAACTAATCTTGTCTTCTGTTCTTCTCTTCATTTCTAGTGTTTCTGTTCTGTGCATAACGACGCCATCCTCTAATGTAATCACCTACCTAGCCTTCGACACTCGAATATCTTTAAAATAGTTTCGCGTACAATCTCTGAAATCATTGTTGGTTCAGAAAAATTAATATAAATATTTCATGTGAATAGTTTCATTATTTACTTATTTTAATATTGTACTGTTACAAGAATATCATTATTACCTTTCATTAATTGTACAAAACCGCAGTATTGAAAAATTCTTCTTTCCTTTGCTCCCGGCCCAGCTGTACTCCTTGCAACCGCATCAGTAAATATAATTTTACATAATGATACGGTTGCAACTCTCGGGCAATGACCGCCAATACAAACCAGCCGTGTTTTCTTAAAATAAAAATAGCATATCATTGATATATACTCATAAAATACCATCAATTTTATAGACTAAGGCAAACTGTTTCGTTGCCTTAGTTTCGAGGATTTCCTGAAAATTACCCAATATTGTCCTCTGCACTAATTGTCTGTGCTGTCCTCTTTTCATTGTTGTGGTTTGTTGCCCACTGAATTATGTAATTCAGTGATCCGCTGCAACTGCATTTGGATCTTTGAAATGCTCTTTATTGTTTCCTCTTCATACGTTGCCATACTCCTTTTCACATTCTCTTGTCCTTCCTTGATTTGTTCTTGAGAACCTGCTTTCATTATCCTTATAACATATATTTACATTTCAATATTAGCAACTTCTGCTGCGATTGCATATTTCCTTTATATTAATAATGTATGTATATTCACATCATATTTATTAGTATTGACTTACAAATTATTTGCTGTCAATTAAAAAATGAATTTATTTAATATTTTTATTTACTTCTGCGTCGTCCATAAATTACTGGTGTATTATTGGCAGAACATGGTACTTCAGATGATGTCCCAATTCTTTTTCGATTACGTCTCTGGATCCTCTGCAAATCTATATCTGCTGTGATGTCAGAGTGGTTCTCGGCCTTCTTTCCCTTCGACATTGCCAACTGAAATACATCTGCTAACACAAAATATTCCTTTGCTTACCGGTCGATGCAAAAATACGCACAACTGAATTCCTGAAATCCCTTGAACTAAATTTACAAACTTTTGAACTAAATCTGCATACTCTTCAAATAAATCCTGAAAGAAATATGTTTTTCTTCATATATATGTTTTATTGACTTCTATTTAATAATATAGAGTCATCCCTTATAACTAACCAGTAAAATAAGTAACTTATTCTATTCTTACATTATCAATATAATTTTTAATAAATTAATTAACTTAATTGAATTAATAAATTAACTTAGTTTAGGTGTCTATAAATATTTTTGGCACTCAAATAAATATTTAGTTACATCTTTATATATGCTCATATTTTTTATTGCTAATATTATTGTCATGTTTGTTGGAAAAATTATATTTTTCTGTTCTAGACGTTGGTAAAGCGTTTTTCTCTGTGGTGTGTACTTCTTGCATCGAAAAACGATGTGATCCGTGTTCCTCCCTCTTCGAAGTCGCACTTTTCAAACCTCGATAATCCAACTCGTAGCCGAAATGCTCTATTTTTTTATGTGACCAATTCGCATTCTTATAACGGTACTGATGTGTGCGCGGTTTTCAGTTATCTTCTGAAACCACGGTTTCGAATGAATATCTGGATTTATTTCATGATATACTTTCCCTTTTCTTTGACTAATGTTGTCGAATATACTTTTCCATATTTCTCTTTCTTCTTTCATGACTATTTTATTAATATCTGCTGATAGAATGTTGCTTATTTCGGTTCCCAAATAACATCCCTCCTTGGCTCGTCCGCTTTTTCATTTTCGATTATTCTTGCATGTCCCTGTGGGTATCATCCACTATATCAGGTGTCGGCAACCTGATTGCCGTTAAGGGCGCAAAACTAAATCTGAAAATTATCGAGGGTGCATCGGTATGAGAAAAAAAAGATTTCTCATAACTTTATTTTCTTAGTATAATATAATATATTCATTACGAACATTCAGTACATCTTTAAGAGTATGTATTAATAATACCTAATTATATACATATAATTTAGTGTGAAACTTGTGTGTCCGTATTTTCAGCTATTTTGTTATAATCGGGAATATAATTAGAGTTCCCTGTCCGCAAACAGTCATCTAAATATGTGTCATTTAACTTTGTTCGGTATTTTGATTTCAAATATTTCATATTTGAAATCAAAGACTCGCAATTGTATGTTGTTGCACAATATGAGTAAATTTTTAGCGCACATTTCCTTAAAATAGGAATTCCTTATTTTCATCGACTTCAAAAACATTTTATCATTACTATGTGCTTTTAAAATAATATCATTTTGCAAGTTTATTATTTCTAACTCCGCGTCTTCGATATTACTAATTTTGAAATACACTGAAACACTTTGCAGAAGATCATCTTCGGCAACTTTGAATGGGTTTATAAAAAATCCTAGAACGGGTTCTAGTGCTGCGAAATCTTGAAATCTTGAACAAAACACTTCTGCCAATTTGTCTATAACTTCTAAATATGATGTAGTAGTAAAATTTTCTATATTTGTTTTTAGACTTTCAGATACAATATGCCTTATATTTGGAAAATGTGAAATTGCCGACCTCTGCACTATACATTTCTTCTAGAATAACTTAATAATATAATATAATATTATTTATTTTATTAGATATAATTACATTTAAATTATAACTTATTATTTGCTTCTTCTGGCTGCTGTCTGTGGTCCCAGATCAGTAGATCTTGACTGCAAGAATGATTGCGGTGAAAGAGCTCGATTACCGTAGGTTGGCCCGTTTTATACCCTGGCCAGCAAACCAGTTCACTGGCCAGTAGTTATGCGTCTCACTCTTGCGCGGTTTTTACAGGCGTCATCTTGTAGTATTGAGGTTCATGATATATTGAGTGCGCCATCTGGTCCCCACATCAGCCCCCTGCGGAGAACGTAGGTCATGGCAACCGAAAACGAACCTTGCGTCCTGATCTAGTTCTATACGTTATTGTTATATTGTTCGTCCTTTCAGCTTATAACATATACGCTGGCTTGACGCGATCAATGGACGCCTTAATATTTTGTGTTGCCTTTTGGATTGTGAACGTTTTGTCCGATCGGTCTATGACTTTGTATGGTCCGGAATATGGTGGTTGTAGTGATTTTCTTACGGTATCATTCCGAAGAAACACGTGTGTACTAGTTTTTAGATCCTGAAATATAAAAACTTTTTTGTTAGTGTGATCGGGTGCTAGAGTGGGTCTCAATTTTGCCATATGTTGAACGATTCTAGTAACGAAATTTGCTATATCTTCAGTGGAGATTTCTGTTTTGGAAGTTGTTACCATATCTCTTGGTAGACTAAGTGGTATGCCATATACTAACTCCGCTGGAGATGTTTGTATGTCTGGTTTAAAAACACAGCGCATGCGAAGTAATATTAGTGGGAGTGCCTCTAGCCATGTTGTTCCTTCATAGCACATGACTGCTGCTTTTAATTGTCTGTGAAACATTTCTATAAGACCGTTTGAACATGGATGATAACTGCATGTTCGGAAACGTGTTGTGCCAGTTGTATTGTTTAATGCTCGGAACAGTGATGATTCAAATTGTCTTACTTGATCGGTAGTAATTTTTGTCGGTACTCCAAATCTGGAGATCCAGCACGATAATTGCCTTGAGCAACTTCTTGTGCCAAGATGCTTTTTAATGGCCACACCTCAGGCCATCTTGTAAACCGATCAATGACCGTTAAACAATATTTATATGAGTTGACTGATGGAAGTGGTCCAATAATGTCAATGTGTATATGTGTGAATCTTCCTGTCAGTAATGGGGTAGATCCATGTGGCGAGTGTACGTGACGGGATATCTTAGCACGTTGGCATTGTTGACAGCTACTTGCCCAAGTGCGGCAATCCTTTTGAATAGACGGCCAAACATAACGGGAATTAACCAGATTCGCCGTTGCTCTGATACCAGGATGGCTCAACTGATGTAAAATGTCGAATACACGTTGTCGTAGTGGACCAGGTACATATGGGCGCTGAGTCGATCTTGTTATGTCGCAGTAAATTTTGATCTCGGAACCGGGGATAGGCACTTGTTGAAGGCGAAGTGCGCTATTGCCAGCGATTAGTTGTTTTAGTTCTGGATCATCACTCCGATATTCGGCAATGATCTCGTGGTTGATTTGTTCTTTTGTTGATACCATATTGATACGAGACAATGTGTCGGCAGTGATGTTTTCGTGACCTGGAATATGCCTAAAATCTGTCGTAAATTGAGAAATAAAATTTAGTTGATTTAATTGGACCGGTGTCCAATTGTCTAAAATGTTGTACAGCCAAATAGACTGCTAATAACTCACGGTTATAAGCTAGCCATGAGCTCTGTCGCGAATTTATTTTGCGTGATAAAAATGCTAGTGGTTGCCTCTTGTTCACCAGTTGTTGAAGGCAGGCTCCTTCAGCTGTTTGAGAGGCATCTGTAAAACGTCCCAATAAAGCGCCGTGAATTGGGTGATGTAGCAATGTAGTTTACTCAAACTTTCTTTGCAGCATTGAAATTCCTGGTCTAGCTCCGGAGTCCACGTGATTGTTTGATTGCCTCTCATACCTGCTAACGCATCGTAAAGTGCTGCCTGATGATGCTTTTATTCAGAATAAAACACCGATAAAAATTCATCATTCCCAAAAATAGTCGAATTGATTTTGCGTTGCCTGGGCGAAGAAAGTTCTTTAGATCTTTTATACGTCCAGATGGTTTGGTGCCTCCTGCGGAAATTTCATAACCTAGAAAATAGACTTGCGGAGCACAAAAAGTGCTTTTTGTTTGTCGGATTGTTTTGGTCGCTGATCTTCCCCTCCAAGAGTATCAAACGCTTCAGTATTAAATCAAGAGTTGCTAAAATCAAATAAAAATGATAATATATACCATGCACTGCAACCATCTAAGGGCAAGTATGTAGACAGCTTTCTGAAATAAAATTGTTGTAATGTAGAAAGTCCATTTAATTTACTAACATGAGCACAAGCTTCTGTTATCAATTACCTTTAGCGGCAACAACATGTTCGTCATGTAACACCTCTATCTCGTAATGCCTTCTTGTATTATCTTGAGAAGCTACAATAAAAACAATAATTACCATTGAATTTGAAAAATACATTTGATAAAGACTAAAATCATTAAGCTCCAGCATCCAATTAATTTTAACAACACCGACATCTTCTTCCTCAAACACCTCCTGCATCTCGTCCTCCTTTCTTTTATTAGCTGGATGAGCTACAAAAAAATACCATTGAATTTGAAAAACACATTTCATAAAGACTAAAATCATTAAGCTCTAGTATTCAATTCAATTTCTTTTAATACCAGCAAAATGCTCCTCCTCAAACATATCATCTACCTCCGCCTCCTTTCTTTTATTCTTCTTTCATTAGCTTGAAAAGCTGCAATAAAAACAAAAATTACTATTAAATTTGAAAAATACTTACATTTGATGAAAACTAAAAACATTATATGTAAATGATTCAACCTCCTGACTCTATGAACGCCTCTTCTTCTCTCTGATTAACATCGGTGCCACAATAAAAGCAAATAACACATCATTTGTGACATGTAAAAAGTGAGTAAGTCTAATGCACTACAATTTTACCTGTTATGGCCTCAATCCTTGACTCGATCAATGCTAACGAATCGCCCGCTTTATACCTCATGCCCTTACCCAGCAGTCCTCTGATGAGGTGTAATCCTCATCACCAGCACGCTTGGGTGCTGACTCATAATTGTCTAAAAGTATTAAAAGATGTACGATGAATTAAAGAAGTTGATTGCTTTTACTCTTACTGTTAGTCAATTTTTTTTGTTAGTAAATAATATTCTCACCATAAAACTCAACTAATTTCATTGATACTTGATTCTATGTATCTTGTGGTTCTGCACGTTTCATCAAACCCGTAGGGTTTTTTTATGAAAGGCCACCAGTACTTGCTGTACGAACCATCATTGCCAATAATCAACCAATTACTCGGAATCTCCGTGTAGAAGTTAGATTTGTCAACAATGACAGCAAATAGTTTGGTTCTACAAATAAAACAGTGAAAGATACGTATGTCTAATATTATATATTCTGGAATCACGAAATTTTTAATTAACTTACTCCAACTGAGATTTATACTATTAAATTTAACTCACAATAACTGCACACGATAAATAAATCTCAACTAACCTTCACTCCGGGATGCATCACAAAGAATGTATTATTTACACTGCTTAAAACATGTGTTGATTTGGCGTGAGCTTGCTTATGTTGGTGCATGTCTACCAACCTTAGGTAACCTGTAGTGAAACAACTATTAAAAGCAGAAGTGAATTTATTTAAATCAAGACTTTTCCAGTAATACACCGGACAAAAACATCAGAAATAGAGAAGATTGAAATTAAAAAAAAAATTATAAGCTTCAAATAACTGTTGTTTAACAACCGAGAATAAAATAGTTTTAATAAATAAAATTTGTGATGTTGTGTTTGGAAGCGACGATGACAAAATCATTATTTTTAAAACCATTTGACTCAAAACTATTCAATATTTATGTTTTTGACTCAAAAATTATAAATGATGTGACAATATCTGTGAAGGAAATAAAACAAAAATGTGTAACTCTGCCATATGCAACTGAATTCAATTATGTGGCTATTTCTTTACTGCAACAGTAATTTGTATTTTTGGAACTATAGTTCTTAAGTTTTATGTAAATATATTTATAAATTTATAAATGTTAATGAAAGTAAATATATACAATTTTTATAGACCCTTTGATATTTTGATTAATAAAAATGTTTTAAAATAAATGCTTTACAAATGTATAAACTTATTAAATCTTCCAAAGTTTTTCAAAAATTCTCAAATCATCTGTAGGTTTCAAATTTTTAAAACTGTTGATACTATTGAAAAATTAGTTGCGAGTAGAATTTTGCCTTAAGGGAAGTTGCATGAACTTCCCGGCATATGTAAATAATCGATTTTAGTAAGACATTATCATATTAATTTGTGACTGATTTATAAGTAAAAACATTTGCTGTCGAGCATCGAAATGGGAGGAAATTTTTCAGTTTAACCACTTTATACGTACATACCTATTCCAAATTTGGTCTCATTCTACCCGGAATGACTAGAAACGTTGAGAAAACATAAAATCTCCTTCGGTAAGATAAAAATGAGATCAATCGAGTTTTCATTAAAAATGTGGAAAATATATTCTAACAAAACATTGCACATTTATTACATAAGGTAACAATGATACATAACTTTGTAACTCCCGATATACATTGCGCGTATATTGCACTTGGTTAACATTTGTTATGTAACTTTGCAACTAACAAGTTTCATTACGGCAACATGTAGTGTTTACTGGGTTAGTATCATAAGCTTCACCCATTTTTATTTTTATATTTATTTATTATGTTATGTTCACATTGCTTTCCAATTTTTTATCACTTCTATTTCTTTTCCTTTATACCCTTCTCCTTCATTTATCATTTCATCGATTATATTTATTATTTTTTCATCTGTTATTTTATATGTCTCATTCGCAATTTTCTTACCATTATTGATGTTTTCTACAGATTGTGCGCCATTTACTTGATTTATATGTTCACTTTTTCCATTGTTTTCCGCTTTATTCTATTCCCCTAGTTCTTCTTTGCCATCCATTTTTTCGTTATTTTTGAATATATCTTTTTCACGTACTTCTTCTATTCTTTTGCTTTGTTCCCTTCTATTAGTTTTATTTGTTTCAGTTTCTTTTTCCATATTTTTGCTGTTACTTTTTTTATTGTATGTCAGTTTTCCTTGACCGACTGTTCTCGGTATCCTAGCATTCTTTGATATAAGTTTCGGAAACGCATTTTCATTTTCTTTGCTAATTAAATTAATCGCTTTAACGTATGACTTGTTGAATAAAATTTTGTATGCTTTTTTCTGTGATATACCTTTCGTAGCGGTCAATGTTTTTATTTTTTTCGTACGCCGGACATAATTTGCTAGTTGCGTAGTGCTCTTTTTGGCACTTCTTTCGAATTGCAGTGCAGTCATCGACTACACTTAGCTTTGCCTTTGCACTGATTTCTTACGTGGCCATATCTCGAACAATTATAGCACTAAATAACTCTTGGTACATATAATTTACTACCGGGCATTATACATAGTATAAAGATACTTTTTCAGGTAGCTTAGTGCCTCTGAAAGTCAATATTACGTTTTCCCTGTTTGTTTATAATTATTAGTATTAGTATTTTTTTGGCATTGTGCATTCAAAGTTCTATGGTGCTTTCTATGTTTTCTAATAATTCTTTTTCGGTTATTTCTCTATCTACGTTTCTTATTAATCCTTTTATTGTAATGTTTTGTGAAGGGGTGTATGTTTTTAGGTTAATGACTTTGAATATTTGATTATTTACTACAAAGTTTGCCCAATAGTGACTTTTAAATACCATTCTTATTCGATTCTTT